GTATTGCAAACTTTGCATAAACTTTTTTTATATTATAAATATTGTATTTTAAAAATTATAATTTTGTTACATGTAAATAATAATTTATTAATTATAACAAAACATTTTTGGAAACAAAATATATATTTATTACAAGTAAAAAGATCAAAATTAAAAAAAAGAATTTTATTTGATTGAAAAAATTTTATTTTTGGAATGGCCCAGACTTTACATATATCAATGTTTTTTTATCAATAGTTTCCTTTATCAATGACTTTCTTTTATTAATGAAATCTTTGACTTAAAATATCTTTCTTTTGAAAGATTTCTTGAACATTGTATATTTTTTTGCATTTGTTTTTTACTTGTTTAATTTTAAATATCTCAACAACTAGACCTCAAAAATTTAAAGTTTTGTTACATTAAATTGCATTTTATATTAAACAGGAATATCACTAAAAAGATATAGTTAAAACACTCTTCTTGTACGTTTTGCTTTCTACTATCAAAGTTGCTATCAAAACTGACACAGTTTCTCTTTTTTATTGTGTGACTATTGGCATATAATAGAATAGCGAGCCGAGTAAACAACTAATTAATGATCTAATTAGCTATGTGTTGTACATTAATTTAATTAATTAGCTATGTGTTATTACAAGTATAAATACAAGACATTTACATAAGTTTCCTTCTAAGGAAATAGCTGTAGCTTACCGGCGTATTTTGTTTCTGGCATTATACTGATGAGTGGAATTCCATCCAGCCACTTGTACCACTTCGGTGGAATTGGTTCTTGACCTTCGATAGGATCGGTAAATCCGCCATCGTGCAACCTAAATAGTATAATCTACTTTATATGTAATATATGTAACATGATATTTTTGTTTTAATTAAAATTCGTGTAAAATATGACCTAATGTATTCTGCTGATTTGAATTATTTATAAAAAATTATATATATATATATAAATAAAAATATATGCTCTATTTGCGTACAAACAAAAACTTTTTTGTTAACAAAAAATTGTTACGCTTCAGAAAAAAGCTCTGTTTCTTAACTTATTTCTTAAATTATTTTATATTTATACTTGTAATCGAATACAAGGCCATCTTCTGGAAACGGTGTTTTATGTTGAGCATCTTTTTGTATTTTTTTCAGCCAATCACTGAATATAGGTCTACTTTTGTAGTCGCAAATAGCACCTAATCCCCAAACGACAGCAAAAGCTATCCATGGCGACAGTAAATTTGCTGTGACACAAAATATTCATTGTTAATAATTGCGATTTGGTATTATAAATGTAATACTATATATATATATAAATAAAAATATATGCTCTATTTGCGTACAAACAAAAACTTTTTTGTTAACAAAAAATTGTTACGCTTCAGAAAAAAGCTCTGTTTCTTAACTTATTTCTTAAATTATTTTATATTTATACTTGTAATCGAATACAAGGCCATCTTCTGGAAACGGTGTTTTATGTTGAGCATCTTTTTGTATTTTTTTCAGCCAATCACTGAATATAGGTCTACTTTTGTAGTCGCAAATAGCACCTAATCCCCAAACGACAGCAAAAGCTATCCATGGCGACAGTAAATTTGCTGTGACACAAAATATTCATTGTTAATAATTGCGATTTGGTATTATAAATGTAATACCAAAATTTTAATTTTCTATTAATAATTCTAGTAATAGATTAAAGAATGGAAAAAATCAGATCTAATAATTAACATTTAAATATAGCAATCAATTTTTTATTAGTAAATATATATATAGCATATATAAAAATTCAATAAAATATACAGAGTAATTATTTATAATATATGTTTGACGGACGTAGCAAAATTATTGTAAAAATGTTACATCAAATTCATATTATATTATTTTTATTTCTTTTTTGTTATATTTAATTAAATGCCAATTTTGCAATATAATGATCATTCCGATTATATTTAAGATTAAAATATTATGCTGTTCTGCACGAGAGGTTAAATCTTTGCATGCAGAGTTGATCTTTATGCTCTTAAGCTGCTTATGTATAGCTAAACTGTTATACAGAACTGAGATAGAGGACTGGATAAAAACAGATAGCACTTGTAATAATAATACATGCTCAAGTGTATATCAAATGCCAACTTTATTTTGCTTTGTAAGCACTGAAAAAAGATGTACAAAATCCCCAAAATTTTTTTTTATTAAAAAAGAATTATTTATTTAAATACTTGCAAAAAACAATTAATTATTTTAATCAAACAGCAAATATATTTAAATTAGTAAAAAATATATACATATATAAAATAAAAGCAAAGTATGTTTTTATCTGCAAAAAAATTATATTAAATTTTTTATCTTTATTATACTAAATTACTACCTTTAAAAAAAAAAGCATATGTACACTGAAAAAAATATATTAAATCCAAATAAAAATTTTTTGATTAGAAACAATTATTTATTTAAATACTTGCAAAGAAATCAGTTATCTCAATCAAGCGGCAAATATATTTGAATTAGTAAAATATAAAATAAAAGCAAAATATACTTTTATTTGCAAATAAAAAAAGAATTAATTTTTTTATCCTTATTATACTAAAATACTATCTTTAAAAAACATTTTTTAATTTTTGGCTATTTGATTAAAAAAACACAAGTTTTCTTTATTTTAATAAATAATTTTTATATCTTCAAATAAATGTTTATTTATATTAAATAATTGATTTTAAAAATTATAATTTTTATTACATGCAGATAATAAATTATTTAATATAACAAAACATTTTTGGAAACAAAATATATATATTATTTAAGTAAAAAAAAATTAACAAAATATATTTATTCGATTGGACAAAATTTTATTTTTATATATACCTGTATGCGTGATTATGTAACATGTTTCAAAATTACTTTTCCGTTATTCTAAATCTTAATATATATGATATGTGGCAATACTTATATGAAAATTATAATTAATTTATTTGCGACTTACGTATAGCCCTTTGGAAAGCAAAACTTGGTGGCGCTTTTCCTTCACGGCCGGCCATCGGTCCGATTCTGAAGTTCATTAGATTAATGTAAGATTGAACAATGGCGGAATCTACCGTATGTATGATTTCTCGTAAATTTTCCCGTACTATCTTCAGACCAGGAAGCACTAGTTGAGCTGTTAAATCTGTTATTTCCTCGATGTAATCGCTCATCGTCTATGAAAATAATATCGTATGGACTTGTTTTACGTAATTGTATCTTATATTGTATATACCTAATCATATAATAACGTTGCAAATTAATTGTAATATGCATAAAATTATGTTTATTTATTTCTAATTAAGAACTCAAAAGATGAATTCGGAAACTTAGGGGATTTAAAAATATCAATAAAATTATGCATATTAAAAATTAATATTTAAAGTTTATTATAGGTTTGATTAAATTTGATTTTAATAATATACTGATTTTATTTCTGTAACATACACAGAATTTCGGAATTAAAGAATGTTGAATATTTATTTAAAAAGAGATATGCTATTGATACGTAAATATTTTCAAAATTATTATTACACAACATTTTAATGAAATATTACTCCATCTATTAAAATAAACTAAATATTTCTTTGTTACTCTTGTCAATTTATTAAATATATAAAATGGGGACTAAAAAAATATTTCTACGAAAATATTCTTGTGAAAATATACTTACCTTTGGCAACGATCGTAACCAACAATCGATTAAAGGTTGCAGACCCAAATTCTCCGGTTCTATGTATACCATACCGCATCTGTTTTAAAATGAAAATAGAAACGCGTTCGTGACATAGTTCTAATTAATATTTCAGTTAATACATTGTATTCTATCTCGGTTATCTAGTAATTGATGATTTTTTTTTGTATCGTTATATAATTCTTAGTCTGCATATCTATTATTAGTAACTTTGTTACAATCAATATGTATTTTAATGACGTGCAACACAAAAGCTCATTTCTTATCTTCTTCATTCTTATCATCGTTATCAAACATTATAAGTTCTAAACATTAATCTGAATTGAAGTAGATATGCTTAATAGAAAATCATTTTTTGAATAATTTAATAAAAGATTTTTCTACCATTTTTAAACAACATAAAAGCTAGACAATCTAACATTAAAACGCTCTATATACTTATAATTTATGGAATTTAGAAGAAACTATATTTGGCTTTTTTTTTAACACCCTGGATATCGAGTTTATATAATAATTAAAACTGCGTTATTATTTTATTCAAATTAAATATTCAGAATAAAAAGGAAATAAAAATTAATTAAAGTTACATGTAAAAATATTTTTATAAATGTAATATTACAATCTAATTTTACGAACTATGAGTTTAATTTTCTTTAAAAGCTTTAAGCTCTTCAAATAATTATATTAAATACAGTATTTCTCAAATTGAAATTGATGTAATTATTTTGTTTGTCTTCCAGTATAATAATGAAAGCCTGAACCAGTTTTGTATTACCTAGATATTGTAGCCGGAGAAGCCACTCGAAGATCCGATACTTCAAACATCATGGTTTGAGTTGGTAATAGCTTTATTATCTCCCCTGACGTAAGACAAAGTTTTTTGTTATCGTCCAGAACGCTGTTCATATTCTCAATCCAATCTGCATCGACCGGTCCATCAAAAATGTACCAATGTTTATCATGATCCGCTGCTGTTATATCTGTTCGTATTAAAGTTGGCAATATTCCGTCTGTCCTAAAAATCGAATGTGCATTGCAGGTATCAGTACTACAAATATTTCAATTTAAAAATCTTACAATTTACGAATATTACAAAATTTTATATATTTGTATATATGGTGATTTTATATATATATATAGTATATATCTATGTTTATATTTTAATTCGCTATATGTGTTTTATTTGCATATATGTGTAATTTAATATCCACGTGTATAATTAAATGTGTATAATTAAATGTGTATAATTAAATGTGTATAATTAAATTAAATAAATTATGATTAGCAAATAATTTATTAAAATCGATATATAAATTATTTATAATAAAATTATTAATAATAAT